CTTGTCTAGCTCTAATAGCCACTAAACCAGCATCGACAAGCAGGAGCTATAAGCAGGACTCAACTTGTCAAGAATTAATTGCTTAATTACTACTGGATTCGGAGTCACAAAACCCCTATCAACTCAAAGATGGCATTATCAGATACCACGAGAAAATCTATGTGGGATCAAGTCATGGAATAAGAGAATGGATAATTAGAGCCTTGGATTCAACTTCCATTGGTGGACACTCTGGACAGAAGGTGAGTTGGCACAGGATCAGAAACATTTTTTATTGGCCAGATCTCAAACAAGATGTAAAGAGATTTTTACAGGCTTGTGATACTCATCGAAGAAACAAGTCTGAGCATGTTCAATATCCAGGACTCCTACAATTACGTCCCATTCTGAACAAGCATGGACACACATCTCCATTCGATTTTATAGAAAAGTTGCCAAAATCTTAGGGCTTCGACACTATTCTGGTAGTGGTGGGTTGACTCACTAAATACAGTGATTTCATTAAGCTTGCTCATCCTTTTTCAGCCAAGCAAGTAGCCCAAATATTCTTGGATCAGGTGTACAAACTTCATGGAATGCTAGACACCATAGTCACAGACAAGGATAAGATCTTTACTTGCAATTTCTAGAAAGAGTTATTTAGGTTGAGTTGAGTTAATCTCTATTACAGTTCAGCCTATCATCCAGAAACGGATGGACAAAGTAAAAGGGTAAATCAATGTGTGGAAGCCTATCTAAGATGCACGACTGGAAAGTTTCCGAACCAATGGAGTAGACGGCTATCTCTTATAGAATGATGGTACAATTCTGCTTACCATTCTAGCCTATATGTTACTCCATTCGAGGCTCTTTATGGCTATGAGGCCTTACTATTGCCAATGGGACCCTACCTTGATTCCCTCATTCCTGCAACAACTCAACCTCTATAAGAGAGAATTCAAATTTCTGCTAGCATTAAGGAGCACCTAATGAAGGCTTAGCAGAGAATCAAATACTTTACTAACAAAAATATATTAGAAAGGATTTTTGAAGTAGGCGACTGGGTGTTCATCAAACTACTACCTTACAGACAACAAACTATAGCAGTGAGAAAGAATCTTAAGCTAGCAGCAAAGTTCTAGGGCCCCTTTGAAGTGGAAGGAAAAATAGGAGCTGTAGCTTATAAGCTCAAACTACCCCCTAATGCCAAAACACACCATGTATTCCATGTTTCCCTGCTCAAGAAAAGAATAGGATCATCTCAGTAGGTGACCTCAACTCTTCCTGAGATTGACTTACAAGATCGGTGTCCATTATTACCACAGATGATTCTGAAAAGGAGTGCTATTCTGAGCAAAGGGTTTCCAGTTGTTTAATATCTCATCAAATGGCAACATTTGACTTTTGATGAAGCTTCATGGGAAGACAAGGACTTTATTTTGTTGTTCCTTTAGAACTTGATATGACCGATCAACCTGCAAAACAAAAGTCAAAGAAAGAGAAGTAAAGTAATTTTGGCTAGGTGAGGCGCGGACTAGGTCGCTCTCTTAAGACGATTCGCGCCCCTCTCGGGATTATGCCCGGTGTAGAAGGTTGATGGCACGTCGCCTCTGGGATACAACAGCCCAGCCTATGTTGTTACTTCTACTAAATTTACACAATTTAGAGAAGTTAAAGCTCTTCTCAACACCTAACTAATGCCCAATAGAAGTGAGAGGAAGATAGTTTTTTTTTTTGAGATGGCAAGAAAAGTGTGTCAAACTTGGTTGATAGATGCCTCTATTTATAGGCTAAAATTTTAGGAGTATTAGAATACCACCATTAAATGGAATAAATGTGTCATATTTTTCAGTTACAAATTTTGAAAAGGTCTAGGTCATTGTATAATAGTCAAAATTTAATAAATCAATTCTTAAAACCTAATCATTACATAGGTTCCAAAAACAAGATATAAATCTCATAAGTTACATTTTTAATGGTGATCTTGTAACTGAAAATTCATTTCAAAATTTGTAACTCATTGCATTTGAATTCAAAATAAGCATGTGAATGAATTCAAAATAATAATGATATTTTTTATTAAAATATCCAACATATTTAACAGCAGTTTCCCGAGTTTAAAACTTGAGGACAAGTCTACTGTAAGAGGGAGGGGATGTCAAGAATCAATAGTCACGGATCAAAATGGCACAGTTTAGACTAGTTTAGACTAGTGTACAAGTTGAATGGAATGGTGTCGTTGTAGTTATAGAAAAACAGTTATTCTATTCGGATAATTTCAGAAACCTCCCTTCAGGTTTCGTGAAATATCACTAAGCTTCTCCCATGTTTCGAAATCACTCTTACCACCCTTCAAGTGATTGTGGTGTCACATGTCACTATCAAAATGGATGAATTGTTAACAATAACCTCATTTCTTCTAGTAATTATTCAGCATATGAAAAGCAAAAGACAAAAAAAAAGACAAAAAAAAGAAAGAAAGCATATAATAGCCTACAGCTAGGGAAAAAATTGGCCGACTTACAAAAAAAAATATTTTGATTTCTAGTTCAATTTTTTCCTTTAACATTGGACTTTATAATTTGACTTGAATTTGAGGCCAATACATAATAGTTTTGACTTTTCATGTGCACTTAGTATAAACCATTATTGATATTGTGCAAACGTCTTGATAATTTTTTAATATAACCAAATTTTTTTTTGAAAAAATAAAGTTCCCATGGCCACCTTTGTTTTTAGTTTCATTACCCTAGTTCACTAGTTATTTCTTAATCTATTATCCTTAGTTAGGGTAAAGAAATCAGCACCATGTCTTTTGACATCCAACACTGGTAGCCAATATAGAAACGAGAATAGGATTCTTATTATTACCCTTTCGATATCTTTTTTAATATGTTTTGGTTTATTTTTATTTTTCTTTCAATTTTCTTCCTTACACTGTTATAATCAAGACATGTGGCTATGATAATGTTCTCTGAAATATCAAAATTTTTTATGCACACGTCCAATAATAATACCCTTATAACAAGGATGACTTGAAAGGAATCTAACTTTGTGTATATTGAAAATAACTGGGGTGGTTTTGAATGGTTGTTCTTGGGAGTTTTTATAAAAAAAAATTATACATATATTTTTTTCTATTTACATTACTGATTACAAAGTTTTAAAGTTCCAAGAAGGTGTACAAATAATATAGCACAAACAAATAAACAAGAGTAAAATGTCATACTTTTTAATAGTTAGCCATTTTCTTCTACCAATTTCCTCTCAATCTGCTCATTTTCTAAAGCTATTTCTGCCTTTTAATACTGCTGCTAGGAAGCCAAAACTAGTCGCTACCTTCCTAACGGTCATTCACCTTTCTCACTTGCAGTCCAATTTCCATGCATTTCACACTTTGACCCCCTCACTTTCTACATAGATTTTTTTTGGTCAGCTTAAGGGTATTAAGGGAACTAAAACACTCTCTCTCCTCCAAAATGCATTTTCTATTAATACTTTTGGTTAAAGGGGCTGACATTGTTAACAAAACGTCAATTCAAAGGGTGTTAAGAGAGATTTTAAAAACGTGTAGAGAGCTTAGTGATATATTAGCAGAGATTGATTTAAATGTAATAAAAATAATTATTTTATTTTTTAAAAAATAAATAAAATAATATTTTTTCTTAATAAATAATAAATATTAATGATATATATGTAATTTTACTATTAAAATAAGAAAATAAATATATATATACACTTAAAATAAAAAATATATATACTTAAAAAAATAAAAAATATTATATATATATACTCGAGCTCTTGAGCCGGGGTTAATATTTTGAGCTCGATTTCGACTCGAACCAACTCGAGCTTGACGCAAGCGGCTCGATTCGTTTGCAGCCATCAACAGGAGAAAAAATTTCCCAGATAGAAGCTGAGAGCTCCGTCCTTGAAACGGTAACATGAGTAAATGACTCCTATGTGAAATTTAAGAAGCGGAGGAAAAAGAGGATTGGAACCCAGGACCTCTAATTCTTAAAGTTTCAACTTTAACCACTAGATAACTAAGATAATGCAAGCATGTTAGCATTGCTATTAAAACACAAATTTTGAGAGCCCGTTTTGATCTTCTCCACAAGAGTAATTCTAATGCATCAGTTATCAGCCAACAATTCTTGTCACCAGCTCCAAAATTTAGAAGTTGCAAGCTCTAGTTGTCGCTCTGTTTGTCCAGAATAATTATCTAGTGGACAGAAATCATGTAAAGTCGATGAAGGTTCCCCTATGTTGATGTTATCATATAAATGTTACTATCATTTAAATCAGCCTTCTTAATAGTTAATTATTATTATAGTATGATGTACAATGCTGTTATTAAGGGTTAAGTATGTCGATCAAGACAAGTATACATACATAGCATGAGGGATTATGGGGTTGGGCGGGCCATTTTGTGATCTCTCTGTTTTTAGTACTCTTATAATAAAATGGTCCAACTTTATTAAAAAAAACTTTTAGTTTTAGAATTTTAAATTAAGTTGATAACTACCCAAATGACTAATCATCTTTACATTTTAATTTTCAATTAATTCCCTAATAAATTAACTTCCATAGTCTTAAACCAATATCTATGAAAAAGTTTTTATAAATAAGTTCCCACTAACATTGCGAGAAGATTTTTCCAGCAAATTCATTTTGAGACGAGGTTCTAATCATTTTTTCATCTCACAAAAAATGCTTATCTAAGGAATGTTACATTTTCTCTAATCATAAATATGTACTGTTAGTTTACTTTACAAAATGAACTCAGTCTCATTTGCCTCACTTTCCTGCCAAGTTTCCAGTCAAAATGGATTTAAATGGACATCAAAACCTGAACGTACAAAAACTAAATTTACATTGATAATATCCTTCAAAAAAAAAAAAAAAAAGTGGACTAATGTAAATTGACCTCTAATGTGGCAAAGAATCTCAATCAATCCGTTTTACTTATTTTTTCTCTTTGATTAAGGATTGGAGACCCTAAACTTTGCAAGACTCCACTTCTCCTCAATTGACATTTGCTGTGGAGTTGGATCAGCTGGATATCCGTATTTTTCTAAATGAGCGTGAAATGAACCTTGAGTCACCAGATGAAGTTTTTAAGGATCTTCAATCATCCGGAGACCCTGTATACTTTGCACTAACTGCAGTGGAGGCACTTTACCCTCCCTATTTGAGGAAGGTGGATATGGTGTTTGAGGGAAGGGTTGCCAGTTGTTGTATCCTTTTGTTAGAGCAGCTACTTAGACTTTCCCCACAGATTCAACCTTCTGCAAAAAGTGGAGCACTGAAACTTGCTAGTGAATGGAAGGCAATTATTGAAACTGGAAATGTGTTGGAGGTCTTGGGCTTCTTGTATCTTTTGGCGTCCTTTGACTTGGCTTCTGCATTTGACGTAAAGGAGGTGATGAACTTTGTAGAGATTGTTGCTCAGAATCAGAAGACACCTGAATTGTGTCGTCTTCTTGGTTTGACAGATAAAATCCCTGGTGATTTTCAGTGTTTTTTTCAATCAGTCCTGCCAAATTTTGACACATGACATTCACACTTACTTTCTTTGGTTATTTGCTTTGTCTTACAAACGATTTTACAAAATGAGCTGAAATGTATGCTTGATTTTATTTTTTATGTTAAGACTTGCTTTTTTGTTGTCTTGCTTCTGATTGCTCTTTAAGTTAATCATACTTGTCATTTAGGATTGCTTCGGAGAATTGCAAAGAAATATCATATTGGATTGACAAATCCAATTTAGTACTTTTAGTAGTTTTTTTTCGTGTTTGGACATTATAAATTGCCCTGCTCTCTTTTCCTCCAATTAACTAATTTTAAGATTTTTTTTGTTGTTTTGGGAATTGTACCTTCATTCAATTAATACCATTTGCACTTATTCAGTTGTATAGTTATGTAAAATTTATTTGTCCTTATACGAAATTATCTGTTGATAAAACCTGAAATTGTAGACCGCATTTGCAAGTGCTCTGTTTTTTACTACATGTAATTTTCCTTTTGTTAATATCAATATCTTATTTCAAGATTCTATTTCTTTTGGAATGGATGAGATAACTAGATGAGGGGCCTCTTTAGGATTTTGACATGCTATGGGGAGGTTGAGACTAATTTATTCTAATAGTTACTTGGCCATATTGGAATCTTACAAAGAGTACTGAAGTATTATGAAGGCACTACTGTTGAAGTTGTCTTAGTCTTGGTAGTCCTGCCATATCTAAAGGCCCTGTTCTTAAGCATGCCTGTGGAGGAGGAGTGATGATTAGATCTATGTTTACTGTACTTGCGCCACGTGCAGTCGCAATGAATTTCTGTTCCTGTAATTATGGCCATTTGAGCACATCCCATTAATGCTGCTGTTGCATGTTGATTTCAGTGCCAGTACGGCTGCCACTTTGATTGCCACTGCAATTACTTTCACTTGTGTAGTATCATTAACGTGCTAGTGCTGGCACTATGACGACAGTAGTTGTAAGTGTCTATTTTCAATTGGAATGTTAGTTTTTAGTGCTGATGTTATGATATTCATGGAATGAATTATCGCAATGAAGGGAATGGTGTGTGTGTTTGTAATATTTTCCAATTATATTTCAATAAAATATGGGATTATTAGAAGTTTTACAATGAACTATCTTTTTATTTTTATTTTATTCTTATTTCATTTTATTTATTTATTTATTTTGCTCTTGTGGAGTATTGAAAACCAATGAAACAGTTGGAATGATCAAGGGCTGGTTGAATCAGTTTTGTGAAGTGTATATGTCCCAGTAACTGCAAAGATGTTCTTAGGGTGAAAGAGAATACTAGGTTTCTTTTTGGTAGATTTTCCTTCTAGTTGTGTGCTAGTTCTTTCAGTCTCTCAAAAACAACTGATAGCTTTTTATTGTCCTCTTTGAAGTAAAATACTGGGGGACTGATCAGACACTTAGCGCATGCTTTTGGTTGCTGAAAATTAGTTGATTTTAGCTTCTAAAAGTTTATTGGCATTTAGAGCTTTCCTCTTGGTGTTTAGTTTTTTTTTTTTTTTTTCTACAAGCCTAGTTCAAGTGAAAATAATTGGACTGTGGGGAGCAGCCCTAGGTGCTTTTGTACACAAGTTTGGTTCCTTTCACTTATTATTATTATTATTATTTTGAGAAGTCATTTCCATGGACAGCTTAACAAAAGCTGAGGCAAACGAGAACTGGCCCTGAGAATGGGGTAATAGAATTTTCATTTCTTTTACAACTCAATGGTTGTACATCCTTGTTCAACTAATAGGCTGAGAATCTAGTCCTCTTTTGCCCCTTTGTGTTGATGCACTGAATGATTTACCGTAACAGTGGTATCCGAATATTGAGCTTCATCTCATATTGAAGTTTTCTCATCTCAAATATCTGTGAAGTTTGAGTCACTTTCCACTTCTTTTGGTTCTGCTGTCACATATTCCTTTTTGCAATTTTTCTCATTGACCATTTTCATCTCTCCCTTCGCTGACAGAGAGAATATGTATTGGGTTAATGCAACATTTCGAGGGAAAAATTCTATCGGTAGGAGGGAAGGGCCAGGGGGAAGGTCTGCTTAAGTGTGTTGGTGGTTGTCTTATTTCTCCAGGCTGGAGCTCAAATAATTTGGGAGGAGGTTAGAACTACTGCTTCCCAACATTCCTTGGCATTTTGGGGAGACTAGAACGTAGTGATAATATAGGATTTGTTTTGTGTTTTAAAAGTTAATATTATGAAATATATATGAGGTGAAAAAGGTAAAAATAAGCAATTGATTTGTAAACTCACATTATGTGGTTTTCCATTTCCACTCCTTCCATCTTCTCTGCTGCCACCCCTCTCAGCTCTTAAGAAAAGATATATAAATATATGTACCCTTAACATAGGTTGAAATGTTTCCACCCAAATTTTTTTTGTCTTGGGCAAACTCATGTAAGCTACTAGTTTAGACACACAGAACAATTTAATACAGGAAATTTGATCAAGAAATTAAAAATTTTAGAGGAAACAGGCATAATAACAAGTACTAAGTAGCTCTCTTGAGGATAGTGTGTTGAAATGACTTTCCTCCAGGGTGCAAGTCTGTTATGTGCTGAATCTAGGTTTACGCAGAGCTTGGATGGAGGAGATATTCGGCACATATGCCTATTAGAGTTGCTGCCATAGGAGGAATGAATGCTGAGGGTGTTCTTACTACTATTATCACCTTTGAAACTATAAGTGGATTGTCCAGTTACTGGAAAAGGTAGTTGGGAGTGGAAAACTAGATCTGGATCAAACAATGTATTCTGCATAAATGAGTTGAACAACATTTGAAGTTGATTACTGCAATTATTTGGGAGCATAGGAATGGTTATTAGTTATATGTACAATGCTGATAATTTCTTCTTATGCCTACAAATGCACTTTCAGTATGCTGGTCATTTGCTTTTAGGAATTTGGTTTGTAGAATGTCGAAGCTTTTGTGATTTCTGGTGCTGAATTATCTATGACCTCTAGCTGAATTATAGCTTGCTTATTGGGGATTTTTTGATGCACTTTCTTAGAACTATTTCTTAGTGTTTGCTTGGATACTTTGATTCAGGCAGGTTGTTTATGTTTCTCAATACTGTTCATTTTGACCGCTCACAGCTTCCTACTTTTTCTTCCTGAAAAAACTAATTCTCTGTACAACGCAGGCTTTATCATTGGTCTCACTAAAAAGAAGCGGTATCTTCTTGCATTTGAATATGTTTATGAGTTCAATCTGGTTGATAAAATTCCACCCATAGCTCTAGTGAAGAAGCATGTCTCACATTCAAAGCAGGTAGCTAAAACATTGTGTAATGACGGACAAAATACTCCTGAGGCACAAGTACGTGGTCCTTACTTGTGAACTGCCTTGTCTAATTTGATTTTAACTCCAGTACTGTGATCGGGTTTTCAAACTTGCTTACAGATTAAGGCTTTGGTGAATGAAATCTCCGCTCTTAAATCTGCTATCAAGTCCATCATAGATCGTGGTCTTGAACGTGAATACTCACCTAATCAACTCAGACAAAGAGTTATACAGCTGGAAAGCCGTAGGGCAAACTTGAAGACTTCATTGTCCGCACCAATTTCAGAGGAATTGCCAAACTGGACCCAAGCAAAGAACTGTCTTCTGCTCAAAAGGCTGAGGTGAAAGAAAAGGACAATGAGAAACCACCTCTTTCAGATGATGCCATCATCAATGAGGCTCGATTGCCTTCACAAAATAAGTCGCGAAGGTTGGCTCTTCCGGAAACAACCCATAATTTTCAACTTGCTAATGGTCAAAACTTCCACTCAGTCTAACCATCTTCTAAGCACTGCAGTGGGCTTGTATACTGGAAGTTATGGACGTCAGATAAGGCCATTGTAGCCTGGGAGGCTCAACTCATGTCAACTACTTGGATGGTTACTTAAAGGTTGCTGCAAGTAGGAATATTTTGCATCCTGGCTTTCTTCAAGTCACTTTGGGATGGTCTATAATGGCTTTTTACCATTGTGGAGTGCTGGAGAGAGCAGCCTTTTACTGAGTTGCAGTTTTCTAACAAATTCCGGTGTACGGAAAACCACTCCTATTCAGAAGATGGAATTTTCAGTAGTATAGGTCTACTAATGGCATCTACCTTCTAACCATTTTTTGAAGTTATGTTGGTACCAATGCCTAACAACTGCAACACCACCCTCCTGGATTTTAGATGGTAGCTAGCTTACTCCAGCATATTTGGAGATTGACCAGTTGTTAGGCTTTCCTGTGTAGTTTAATCATCATTTTGTGTAGGTCTTTCGGTATTCACTCGGATGAAATCCACAAGGGGATTCTTTTGTTCTGCTCACTGAAACATGCACCAGGCCAATGGCCTTTTGGACAGTTGAAACTTCATCGTTGGATCAAGGATTGAACACAGTTGTTTTTGAAAGAAAAGTGGTCATTTGTTTTGGGCATCCTTGGCGCAGTGTGGACGATTTTGTTTCCTTCTCTTTTCCTGGTTGTTCGTATTATCAGGTATTGTCTTTGGAATGCATGGACCTGGGCAGGCTGGCAGCTAAAAATATTGCTTGAGGACTGTTAAGAAACATCCTAATTAGTAACGAACGTCACCACTTAGCCTGGAATGTTGAGCGTTATTCAACAAGCTGTTGCATTTCTTAGTATTTTGGTTGCGGATTTGCCAAGGTGTTGCTCTCTGGTTTGAATCCGAGGACAGATTCAAGGAGTGAATTGCATCCAGTTCGTGGATCTGCATTGATCATTTGGCTTGAATCCACAAGAAGAATTTGTGGACGGATTCAAGGCTCGAATTGCATCCAAAATCGCGATCTGTTTATTGACTTGATTGCAACCAATAATAAAACTAACAATTCTAACCTAAAGATAAAAACACTAATAAAAAATAAGAAATCTACCCTAGTTTAGAAGCCTAAACGATTCTCAAGTGGCTTTATTAGATACAAAAACAATTCTCAGATAGCCTTCAAAGTATATTCTAATCATTTTGGTTCATATCTTTGATTTACTAGCCAACTTCATATTCTGTGGAACATTTTGAAAATGTGCGTCTATCTTGAGGTTCATGCTAAATTTTGTCTCGATTGTGAAAGTTCAGTTCTGTCAAAAACTTCCAGAAAGTGACTTATTTTTTGTACTTAATGCCGTGAAACTCTGGTGGAATGCCTCTCTATTAATAGCTTCTTGAGCGTGTACCACTTTTACACGATTTCTTATCTAACATGCTGAAAAGTAATCAATAGAACTGAAACCACAAGCTGTTTAATCAGCCTTGCGTTCTTGATTTGGCCAGCATTGAACGTTAGGTGGTGGCAAGGTTTGGTTTTCAAATTCTAATCAAGCCTTCCTCAACCTTGAATACCGTATAAGAGGATCAAACAAGAGTTTGCCAAATTTCTGCATTCAGACTTTTGCCAACGCTGGTCAATACTGAACCCCAAACAGACTTTAGCAGTAAATTGAGGCTTTTACATAATAATCTACGGAACTGAGTTAGATGTGCATGACACGTACCTAACGCTATCTCTTTGGCATGCACATGAAGTCGTATTTCTGAAAAGATACGTACGTAATGGCAAATGCTGCGATATAGCCATATAGGTATCTCTCAGGAGATTTTGAGGGTTAGTTTTGGCTTTCATTTCATTTCTTTTATCCAAATTGGTCAAGGGAGGAAGAAGAATATTTTGTATATAAATTAGGAAGTGGATATGGGGTGGTTATTATCTCTCTTTGCCTTAACAACATGTATAAAGCAAAATTAGGGGTTTTATTGTGCTAAATCTATGTTGCAGCAGGTTCGAGGATTGGATATTAGACATTGTAAAAAAGATTCTTTGTAGTATGAGAGACGTTACTTCGACAAACATGTATAAAACTTCACTTGCTACTTCTATCGTTTGAGACTGTCTAAAAAATAGGTTAAGAAGTAGAAATATCTAAGGTATAGGGATAAAGAAGTAGGATAATGATAGATTTTGGAAAATTAATGTCTTAAACTGGTCTGTAACTTTTAATATAACTTTCAAATTGAAGCATTCGTCACATTCTTGTTTTACTCATAAAAATTACCCATTAAAAGAGAGAGACAATACAAAAAAGAGATGCGTGAAAGAAAAATTGTGAGAAAAGGAGAGCTAATAAAAACAAGTAGATGGTGTATGAACATGAAATTATGAGTTTCAAAAGAACAGAGTAAAGAAAAGGTGATTATATACCTACGGTGTAGTTTCAGTCTAGGACTGTCAATGGGGTTGGGTCAGCCCGAACTCGGCTCGTTCGGCCCGATAAAAAGCCCGATGAGCTCGACCATTTAGTGAGCCAATCTGAGTTTGAACATAAAAATTATGCCCGAATTAAATATGAGCCGAGCTTGGGCCTTATTAGGCTCAAACCCGACATAGACCCGGCCCTTTAATTACCTATATATATAATATTTATATTTTGATATTATGTATAATTATATATCCAAATATATTATTACTAAATACTAAATATATATATATATATATAAATTACAAAGCACAAAAATACATCTAAAGACTCTTCCATGAGCTTTCTTGAGAACCAATATTAGTAATACATAACTAAATTTCTAACTTTTCTTATTGGTTGAGTAAATTTTTGTATTGGCATAATATTGGTTGATTTCTTTTTGGTCTACAAACACAAATCATCAAGCATATTTGGATTTAAATCACAAGATTATAGAAAAAGTTTCAACTTTTAAAGATGTCTTGGCTTATGATCGCATGTTTTATTACTATTTTTCATGAATTTTGAACGAATTAAATATAAATATTGTTGAAAATTTTTTGGTTATATACCTTTTAAGAACTATCATTTTTTCATATTTAGTTTTAATATTATAGTCTTGTAAATGTTAAATTAGTTTTACAACTTAATAATTTTAGACTTTTAGTAATTATATTAAGAAAATTAAGGAGTAATAAGTGAGTTTGGATTAAACCCGATTAAAGCTCACAACCCGAATATTATGTGAGTTGAGCATGAGTTTCACATTTATAAACCCGAAACTCATAGTCCGAAACCCAAAAATATTTCAAATAAAATGAGTTGAACTTGAGCTTATCAAAACCCGGCTCATTAGGCCCGATTGATAGGCCTAAGTTTCACAAGCTTACGTTAGTTGTAAATATTTTCACCTACAACAACAATCCGTCCTATTTCTGTGCATTTGGTTTTTGAACTTTTCTTTCCTTTACTTCTCAAAGAATCTGTTCTTTTCTGCTCACTTTCGGAGTGAAATTTCAAGTTCCACTTTATTGGCTCGAAATCTTCCCACCGACAAAGTACGCATGCAACACGGAAAATCTAGAAGAGCGACGGGTGAGAGTTAATTGCATAGCAGTTTTGGACGTTATATAGGAAGATTCAAGAAATAGTTGCAAAATCCTCGAAGCAAAGAAATCCAATTTCCCTTTGATTTCCAATTAATAGAGATCCTACCAAACAATTGGTTTTAATCATTCAGACAGCAGACATAAGATGCACACCAACTTGTCCTGTTCAGGGTAGGTACCTTCAATTGAATAGGATCTCAGTTTTGGTGGGGGGGGGGGGGGGGGGGGGGGGGGGGGGGCACAGGAAAACACCTCCAAACCCCAAAGAAAAAAAAGGGAAAAAAAACTGACCTTTTTCCTCAAAAATGTTATGATCCATCTGCTTTTTAAATTTATTTTCGATTGATTTTTATAGTAGCTCTTCTGGTTATTAATTTATTAGTAGAAGATTAATTTCTTGATTTAACAATATGTAGCACTAATACTGCATAATTATTCTTCCATATGTACTATTGTACCACAGATGCTTATTTTGGCCCCTTCCCCCTCCCTTCAAGGTTTTGTTAACTCTCTGGCCTACTTAACCTGAATTTTTCCCCAAAAATGTTGTGATCCATCTTAGACCTAGCAATTATGCCCAAAACCCAATCCACCCACTAATTTGAGAGGTTGGGTTGGGTAAGTTGGATACTGGGTCAATTTTGGGTTGAGTAATGAAAACCCACATATATTTTGGGCAGTTTGGATATTTGTACTGGACACTCATTACCCAACTTATGCTAATTGAATCAAGTGAATAATCAATACAATCTTAAAAGGGTGAATAGTTACTCAAAAGCATCAACTGTAGATTTTTTTAAATTATTTTTTGCTATAAACATCTTTTGTGATTATAACACAATTCGCCAAGCAAGTTAAAAATTTTTTACTTGGCCTATTTTTAATTCCTTGGTTACATACTTAATAGGGTATTACCCTAGAGATGGAAAAGGCCAGATGTGTTAGAATAATTGTCAGATTCATCGTGACATTGAGTGCGAATGTGACTTTTTTTCATTTATATTATCGTCATCAAAATGTGCAGTATGAAGAATTTGAACATTATTAAATTCGAAATTAATTTTGAGACGTTAATGTCAACTTACAACTACTCGTGCCCTTGGTGCTTAATAACTACCACATAACTCATTCATGCTAAAAGATTTTTGTTTTTATAAACCGTATTCTCAATATGTAAAAACTCCATAAATCCAAAATTACCATACTTTCTTTGTGAATATATTAGCATAAAATCTTTTTTTGGGCGATTTGGGTATTTGTGTTGGGCATCCACTTAAAATTTTTTTTTTTGTACGTGAAAATATATTTGAGAGAATTTATGTATCAAAATCTATTAATTAATATATTTGATCATATTTGGGTCATGGGTTTGAGATGATCCAATGTGACCCAACCCAAAATTAACCCAATCTAAAGTTGGACGGGTTGGGTGTAACCCATTTAAATGAAAACCCAATATTAACCCGCCCAAAATCCACCCAATTGCCAGGTATAATCCTTCTCTTCTTTTATAGTCCTTCCAGTTATTAATTTGTTAGCAGAAGATTAATTTCTTGATTTAACAATATGTAACACTAATACACTACTTATTATTATAACTTATATTCTTCCATATGTAGTATTGTACTCGAGGTGTAATATTTGTAATTTTTTCCTTTCGTATTTGAAAAAAAAAATTATCTATTTAATTCAATTTGGTTTATAGTCAAAAATCATCACTCGTCGAAATAAAAATTAAACTTTTACTTCTCATTTAACATTTTTAAGTACAATAAATCACAGGTTTTATATTTTAGAGTAACTTATAAGTGTTCTTTTATCTCCCAATTTCTTCCCTTCCCCCTCCCCCAATGCCAAATCCTGGCTCAACCATTGGAATAGGTGTTCCTTGGATGCCTTCTGGATAGGCATTTCTTTTCTTTTTTTCCTTGAAAGTTCTTCAATAAACATTTCTATATACATCTTTCTTTTAATTTTTTTTTTTTTTGGAGGTCTAAAGCCATAATGTGGCACTAATCTATCAGACCACTAATTAGTGCTTAGCTTTTGTTTGGGTGAATAGAAAATTGATG